GACAATAGTATGAAATTCCGAAGTTCGGATAACAAGATAGTTTTTTTTGGATTTTATGCGTATTTCTATGTCTTTTACATTAGTTGTTCTAATTAGGAAGACTTTTTTCGCTTGCTGTTCTCATAAGGAAAAGTGTTCTTATTTAGAACAGATGCGGTACTCTTTAAACTACCGGTAATTACTCATTTACTTTTCAAGATACCTTCATGAGTTTTACATCACTCGATGGAGGAAACAATGCCGCACTCAATTATGTAAAAAAATCAGAAAAAAATTCAGATTAACTCCAGATAATAAAGCGGTTTTTCATAGCTGTCAAACAGCTGTTCCAATTAGGAACATTGACTCTATATATAGCGGAATTCCGTCTACAATTTGGTATAGCAGGAATTAGAATATCAACAAACGTCGTTGGAAAAAGATAAAAACAATATACCGACATATAAACAGTCGTAAAAAGTGTATGTGGACTCAAATGGGTTATACAGAAAGATCTATGGAAGTCTGCTCTTTCGAACTAGGCAACTTCGAGCTTGATAGCCTTAGTCGATTACAAGTTATTCGAGACATGATGGCCACGTCGATTTAACTCTGAAATGGACAATAGTAATATTGATCTTGTAAAACGGCCAGGTGACTCATCTAGTCTCAATTTGATCGAGAAAACGTTAGATTATTTTAACAAAGTTTATAAAAACTAAAACCAACGAATATCGAACAATTATATATAAAGACTGAGGATTTATCGCACGACCTAACAGTGAAACGGTATCAGCAATTAATGAGTTCAATGTCACGACATATAAAACAGTTTATTTTAACTCTTCACGAGACTTTAAACAAATATTGAAAACAATAGTTCAAGAAAACTCTTATGAACATTAAGTAATTCTATATTTTTTCTGAGAAAAATGTTTTTAGTGACTATGCAATATATGAACTTTTTCTCAATAAATACTGAAAGAGCAAATGCGTATCTGTACATCGATACCAAATTTGAAACGAATAAATAACATCAATGAAGAAAAAGATTCAAAAAAAGTCAAACGCATAGGGTGATTATATAAATCTTCGCAGCACTGTATATATCTATATAAAGATATTGCCGAGGTAGAGATGAGAACAAGAATATGTTTATTTTCTGACTATAATGAATGACAACTGAAATATAATCTTTTCATCTTGAGTAGTTGTGCGCATTAACTTTGTTTCGAATATTTTATATTAGGAGTCACTGCCTACAACTATCTCACGGGAAACGAATTGCTTGATTTTCATGATTATGCAGCCGCTACTCTTTACTTTTATAAAATCTCAAGACCGATCGCGATTTCAATTGGTAATCGATATTCGATCTATGTTAATCAAACTGGGTCTACTTTAAAGAGACAAGATTACGGTGCTCTCGTAGCACAAGCAGCAACAGAATATGCTTATACAGCTGCTGTAACACGAGCCGATTTATTATATCCTCCTGTCACGACTGAAGCGTTTCAAAGTGCATGGAAAGATCTTGCCGTGCAGACTGCATTGATCTACGAGAATAGTGTCGTGCGTAGTTACGGCTTCAACCAGCCATTTAGATCCAAAATTATTCCACGTGTCGCTTGGTTGATTTATCTTGACCCAAACGCTGACGGCTTGACCATCATAGAGAATGCTGTCAACGACACTCTTGTTTGGTGGTCTTCGACCACTGAATTTTGACATAAGCCAAAGGATGATTAACTTCGATGAATACTATATTTTGTCATCAAACTGAATTCATCATTATGTTGAGACTACAAAATAATACAGAACTACATTTAGGATTCGATAGGAACCGTTTCTTTTCTTATTTGTACCGCATTTTCTTTATTCATTAGATTTCTATAATAAAAGGCATAGTAGATAGATAGACTGAGATGAAGTGCATCATCTTATTAGATAGGGTGTGGGTATGTTGGCGTGTGGGTGTGGTTCTACGCGTGGTTCTTGGTGTGTGTGCCTGTAATCAATATACCTACATTCGCGCCGACAGTCACATTTACCCTCACATCCACCCACATCCACGCTCACAAAATGAAAAGTGGAAAACGATTTTCAACGAGATAAACATCAAAATGAACTGATAATAATAAACGATGATGTTTTTGTTGATATCTTACTATTCCATTGTGCATTCAAATTTCTATTGCATTTTAATTTTTACGTACGAAGCTAGATTTTCATTGGTTGTTTCGGTGAATCAGAGTACCTACAATATCAGTCGACGTAATTCCTTTTAGCAGGTTAGATTGCAACCAGTTGAGAGTTACAGAATATGATGTTACAGAACAACTGATGTTGCACAGCTCTGAACGCTTTTTTAAAATTGCAGTCTCTTGATGCATAAATAGAAGCAATATACGGCCAACTATATCCATTTTGTATACACATGGGATGCAATCATGCTAATGTTGCGTCGCAAAATGTTGATTAAAGCAACAAATCAAATGCGCTGTTTGATGTGTTTCGTAACAGTTTACTATGCGTTTGACTAGTGTGAGTATTAGTAGGAAAAATTATCTACCTATAGCATGCTCTTTACGAGGACCAATAATGGTTGAAAGACATTAGTTTTCTGACTTTTCTGTGTTTGAATACAGCGAACAGAAGCTTATCATCTTGAGAATAATTTTTTTTGGAGTGATGCATCATGAGCAAAATTTTATATGTGAATGAGCAGGTTTTTCTATTTACACAATGGTGTTGATGTGGATGCGTGTGAGTTCACCTGTGGGAGTGGGTACTAGCCTTTTCTCTCCTTTATTCCCAAATCCTAACATGGCTACCTACATGTCTACATCCACACCCAAGAAATAACTTAATATTGTTTCAATCATACGTTTATACATTATCAATTTCGACTCAAGAATAATGCATTATCGTTTGTATTGATGATATCGGTCAAATAAAAAAGATGAGTGCGTATGCATATACATATTGACCTTCATAAGTTGAAAAAAATAGACAAGTGAAAATAAACATGGAATATTCATCTGTTGGATTAAATGATCTACCTGATGAAATTCTTATGATTATTTTTAAAAAAATGAGCACTCTTGAAGTACTTTATTCTTTACAAGGTGTCAATCAACGACTAAGTAAAATTGTTCATGATTCAATTTTTACAAGTATTTTGACTTTTGTCAAATGGTTGTCACGTAATTTTATCGATCTATTTTGTCGTAATATGATACTTGATCGATTTCGTTTACAAATTTTACCGGAAATTCATCAATTAAATCGAATGGCTTGATCTTGAATCATCATCCATGAAACACGTTTGACGTGCTACCGATTATCCTAATTTACATACTCTTGGCCTTGATAATAGTAACGAAGAGTTAGCTCAATATCTTTTTACTGGTAAGAAATTTTAATTCATTTGTTTTTATTCTAAACAAATGAAAGATTTATGCAACTTATTCATATAGATGACTAGACCATATTATTTTCATAGTTGTTTTTTCTTACTAATATTGTATATATATTTAGATGAAACTCTTTCATCTGATGTTTTCTAAAATCAGATTACAAAACTTTCAATTACAGTTGATAATAATAAAAAGACGGTAGATATAGTGGTAAACATATGCGATTATATCTTGAATGTTTTCACCAATCTATTTTATTTAACATTGTATGAATCATCATATAAAAATCGTATTCCATTATTTTTTGATGATCCACCTCCTCCTACTTTTGGTTCTTCAACTATTCTGAAATTGAATGCTAGATTATAATGTTTCGATGATTGTCTTTATCTTCTCGATGGTTGCTTTAATCAACTTCACACACTCTATGTTGTTTAGGTTAATCTTCATCGTAGACAATTACCCAGTGAAAAATATTTACTGATTTTAATCGGATTTTTGTGAAACAAAATCAGAATTAAAATCGATTGATAATTTTGATTATTATTCATCATGACTTAACTATTACGTGATATTGTTACTTATGTAGTGTGAAATTTTCCGATTGAAATTGGATTATTTTGCAGCAAAAACAAGATTATAAATCGATTACTAATTTCAATTGTCCTGCAAATAATCCAATTTCAATCGGAAAATTTCGCACTGCATCAGTAACAATATCACGTAATAGTTAAGTCATGATGAATAATAATCAAAATTATCAATCAATTTTAATTTTGATTTTGTTTCACAAAAATCCGATTAAAATCAGTAAATATTTTTCACTGGGTAATTGAAGAACAAGTTAATTTTACAAGAAAACCTTCTATGTTGTGAAACAACAAAATAAATTTTGTTGTTTGGGGTGATATATCAAATCTAAAATGTTTTTGTCTGTCATGTAATCTCGAAACATCTAATCACGATGAAGCAATCCTCCCACTTCTAAATCATATATCAAATTTAGAACAGCTCGATTTGTATCTTCTGATTCATGTTGATAAAACATTTATTGATGGAAACTATTTGAAGAAAAACATTATTAATCGTATGCCAAGACTAAATCAGTTTACATTTTACATTAACTCATCTATGTTTACTCGTAATAAATTGAATTTGCCATCAATAGAAGATACTCAGCGTACATTCATTGATTTTCCAAATAATGAAATAGTTTTTTATATTGATTATTTTCCAGAGGCAGAACTAGATCTATGTCATATTTACTCATATCCATGTCTGATGGAATATTACAGCGATATTTCAAATAATTTTCTAGGTGGACTATTCAATTATGTTCGTATGGTGTCATTGTTTGATGAACATCCGTTTAAACGTGAATTTTTTCTTCGAATTGTTGAATGATTTCCATTTATGAAAAAACTATGTTTGACTAATCATAAATCACAAAATTGCAAACAATTTTATGAAACAAACAATGATAATCGAAATTTATCTGTTATTGAATATTCTTTTCTTAGTGAAATTGTTATTGTCCATGTTCATGATGATTATATAGAACAATTTCTACTTGATACTTAAACGTATTTACCACACAATATTATTCTTCATATCAATGATGAATCTTTACAACGAGTAACAAACAATTTTGCAAGAGATGTTACACGAATTAATTGTGCCAAAATAAATAAATTAAATTTAGGTGCGGAATCAAAATGTTCGAATTCTTTAGAACAGTATTTTTCATATGCAGAAATATGTTATTCATTAATATATTGAAAGACAAAAATAATGTATTAAATTCAATAGAAGCAGGATAAAACAAGAGAAAATTGACTTGTGGGGCGGGTGCGGGTGTGCGAAAATAGTATACCGACACTGACACCCACATTCACGCCGAAAAACCACTCACTCCTAACCCACACCCTAGATTAAAACCTATATTGTGTATTGTGAACTTGCAACACATCAACGTTTGGCAAGACATATCTGGGACAATATTTCCGTTGTGTGGTTGAACTTATCATCTCGTGCCTCAGAAAAAGTAAAACCCAATCAAGATTATGAATCTCTTCGTACAACAATCGTTCACAAAAGATCATCATCCGCTCTTTCACCAGCAGAAGAACATCTCTTTTTTGATGGTTGGGAATTTTCTATTGAAAATAAAATCACTAATTTTATCGAGATCAAAGCGGAGGGTGTGGGTGTGGGTGTGGTTGTGACCATAAGATGTGGAGTGTCGGTGTGGGATGTAGGTGGAGCGCGGATGGGGCGTGGGTGTGATTGTGACCGTAAGATAGGGAGTGTGGGGTGTATGTGGGGCGGGATCCCGAATCTTGCGCACGGCGAATCTTGCGCACGGAGTGTTGCGCACGAACAATTTGCGCACGACTAATTTGCGCACTGACTGTTTGCGCACGAGAAAAAAGTTCATATTTATGAGCTGCAAGACAATAAAAGTTCAAGAAGGTTGAAAGTTCAATTGAAAATATTCAAAATAGGTTTAATTAAAATACTGCTAAGAAAGTATATGATTATATGCATAAGTTCATTAATTGGATAAAAACTAATTTTTTGATCATCTTAAAATGACTTTGTCGTATTTATTAAGACACTAAAGTATACACGGACGCATAATTATATTATCCGCATAATCATAAACCATAATTATTAGACATAATTCTTTTATGTTTTGACCTCATCAAGATGAGCTCGCTTTAAGAATAAAGTGTCGCGTATGTAAAAAATGATCATTTGTCATCAAAATAATTCAAAGTTATACAACAATATGTGCACTCCTGTTGAATTTACCAATACCAAAAGAGGTCGTCCGTTAATGATAATAGATGGTTATTCTTATGTACACGATAGTCGAACCAACGACAAAACCTATTGGCGTTGTGAAAATCATAAAACTTTTAATTGTCATTATCGCATACACACATGTAATTCTACTATTACTACAACACATGTGAAAATATTAAAACAAAATGGTAATCATACAACAAGCTGTAATCGTGACCAAATTAAAATATCACTTCGAAAATTTCGTGAAAATTTTGTCGATCGTACACATAATACTCAAGAATCAACAGACACCGTTTTATCACAATGTATATCACAATTATCTGATGTAGCACGTATACGATTACCACCATTAGATCATGTTAAACGAACTATTCATAAACAACGAAAAAAAAATGATTTACCACAAGTACCAAATGATGTTAATTTTCCTAATATTCCTGCGGTTTTACAAACAACAAAACGAAATGACATTTTCTTACGCATTGATACAGGACCAGATAAGAATACACACTTCCATTGATGACATTATGAGAGATATTTTCTAGAGAGTTCGATGAATAACATACTTTAATATTTTTGTTTAGGTCCTGATCGGCAACTTATCTTTTGTAGTCCTGAACAAGCTACAATTCTGAAATCTTCAAGTGATTTTTTGACTGATGGAACATTCGAAGTATACTATTTTTTTAATGAGCTTTTGTATTTTAATCAAAAGTTTTTGTTTTATTCCAGATCGTTCCAAATATATTCTACCAATTATATGTAATTCATGCTGTTCATCGTGAACATGTTGTTCCAGTAGCATTTTGTTTACTTCAACGAAAAAACACCAACACATATCAAGAAATATTAATAAAATTTTAGAATTTGTACCAGCATGGAATCCTCAAAGTTTAATGATAGACTTCGAAAAGGCAGTTATGAATGTTTTTTCAACTAGTTTTCCACAAGCATCTTTATCTGGTTGTTATTTCCATTTACGGCAAAGTATACATCGACAATTGCAGGTATGATTAATAACATGATAGTAAAATACATAATTTGGATCATACTACGTACGTTTTATTTTAGACTTAAGGCTTGCAAAAGCAATATGAAGATGATATTGATTTTGCTCATGGCATTCATAAGATTGCGGCATTAGCTTTTATTCATCCAGGTGAAGTTACTGATGCATTTACACAACTTAGTATTCATCTTGGTGATACATTTCAAAGCATGTTAGATTATTTCAAGGATAATTATATCGGAAGAATTCGTGCTAATGGTTCACGTTCACGACCATTATTTAATGCTGAATTTTGGAACGTTCATGAACGAACGAAAAATCTACAAATGAGAACGAATAATTCAGCTGAAGCATGGAATAGACGTATCAGTAAGTGTAAATGTCAAATAAAAATCTGCTTTGTATCAAAAGACAATTTTCTGATTTCAGAATGTGTTTTTCAATGTTCACATCCAACTGTATGGAATTTATCGACAAATTAATATTAGAAGAAGATTCACACATTCATACGAAGATTTGTCGAGTTAATGCTGGTGAACCAATTGCTAAAAAGAAAAAATATCAACACCTCGATAAACGTTTACACAATCTAGTTTTAAATCCTCATCAAGATATTATCAATCAAATTACATCTCTAGCCCACAATATTGTTCTCTAATACAATAACAACAAATAACAATTTATTTTGTTTTTTGACACTAATTGTTATATATTTTTTCAAAATAAAATATGTGTTTTGTTGTTTCTGTTATATCTTTGTGTTTTGATTCACTGTCGAACAACAAAATATGAAGTTTCTATTGTGCGCAAGATTCGTCGAGCGCAACTTTTCGTGCGCAGGATTCGTAGACCCAGGTGGAGCGTGGATGGGGCGTGGGTGTGGTTGTGACCGTGAGATAGGGAGTGTGGGTGTGTGTGGGTATGGTCTTCTATCCTCTCACACGTACTGACAGCCGCATCCTATACCCACACCCACACCCTAGATAGGGTGTGGATATGAATGAAATTAATATCTACACCCACACTTACATCCGCACCCCGCACTCTCACCCTACACTCTGAAGTTGGAAAAATACAAAGAAGAAATTTTATGCCTTAAAACTTATGTTTGGAGAGTGAGGTATAGAATAAGATAAAACTCACCTGAAAAGTTGGAAAGAAGTTGCCCACTTTATTACTTGCTATCATTGCTTTACTCTTTCTCTGTTTTATGGCTGCTGCCTATTGAATTTGAAACAACAAAATAGAACGAAAATATCTGTCATCATCTACAAAAAAGTAGGGATACACGGCTCTTTCGTTACATTACTTTTACATACACGAAGGATGCATAATTCAATATCGACGATTGCATCAGTTTTAACGAATACAAAGAGCGTTTAAATGTCAGTACTTGTTTTGCTTTATTGTAGTTAATAGAGTTCGGCTTACAGTTTGACCATTGTTATTGGCAAGTAAACCACATCTCTTTTTATAGAAAGTTACTCGGTTTCTCTCATTATTGTACTAGTTTTCTTTTTGATATTCCTGCAGTTACTGGAAAACATTTTTTCTGGGACATTGCGTGAAATCTTCGAAGTATTTTGTCGGGTTGATGTGATTATTCAGTTAAATATCTTAATTGTACAGAAGTATAAAGATACTTTACTATCATATCGCTTAGTCGTTTGAATTTTTTCAAAATACGCTTATGATCATTTTTCTTCTGTTTGAGAAACAGAAAATAATGTCTTAGACTGATCTACTTAATTAGGAGGGACTTACCTCCACCTCGATGTTTATTTTTTCTGGCCATTTTGTAGAGACAATAAAGCTACATATACCCTGAAACTTTTCTGAGGGTCTGACTAGTTTTAACCGAGTTGTGGCTTACACAGCTTCTGAACATTTTGGCGGCCTTTACTACGTACTAAAAAAATTTGAAATTTTTTTTGAAATACAATATTTTGAACCAATTTTTATATATTTTGATAGAGTAACAAGAGTTGTATATATCCTGAAATTTTTGCTGTTATATAAAGAGTATTATCGGAGGAAGAATGCTTTTCCTAAATAGCACATTTTCGCGTGTCCGCTAGTATTTTTCGAAAAACTTGCCTGATTTTTAAAAAGTATAGCGCATTAGAATAAAAATCTGTTCGAACCAAAAGATACACCATCAAATTCTGAGTATACTAAGTGGAACAGAATTTTCATTTTCGAAAAAAATTGTTGATAAAAAACACCATTTGTAATTGTCCTGTGAAATGCTTGAAAATCAGCTCGTATTTGGCAAGTTTCACCGTTATAGTTCTATTTAAAAAAAACGCATGTGATATTCAGAATCAGCGTTTAAAACCGAGCTGAATAACATGTGTTTTAACGAAAAAAACATTTCTCGAAATTTCACCTGTACCCCACCTTCAGCTCGTTTTTCAGAAATTTCTGCCGTGGCCCCAAGGGGGAAAAAGCGGATTGTGGTATCCCGGTATCCTGTGTATCCCCGATGTATCCTGTGTATCCCCGATGTATCCTCTGTATCCCCGATGTATCCTCCGTATCCTGACCGTATCCCGGATACGCGAATCCGCAAAAAATCTACGTATCCGGAATGCGCCGAGGACATATTAGGGATACAGAGGATAAAGACGATATATTGCGAATATAGGGAATTCCTGGATCCGATTTTCTCCGAAGCGGAGAAAAATGAAAAACGAGCTGAAG